AGGTCAGGCAGCCTTTGTGTTGTGGCTCTGAAAGCAATTCTTGTGCCGTAAATCAGCTATTTAATAGTTTGCTCTATTGCAAGTACTGACTCAAAATCTGCAAGTGTGTGTTTGGCCACGTGTGAGTACATTCGATCTTGAGCACTGCACAACAGATTGTAAACAGCAAACTTCTTATTTTCGTTCAGTTCTGATGAGCATACACCGGTAGAAGACGAGGAGGCAAAATCTAAGAGTAGTTCTTCAGATTCCAGCTCAGAAGGTATTTTGTTTTGCTTACACAGGTTGTTTTGAAAATGGGAAGCTGATGAAGTCTAGAATCTGCTACTGTTGCTTGCAAGAGGTTCACCACCTTTGATAGGTGGAAGTGAGTGTGATGAGCTCCAGTTTGAATGAGAGTGTTGCTTTGGGAAGATTGAGACATGTATGGAACTAGATGAGCTTTGTCTGCTCCCTAATGTTATCTTTTAAAAATCTTCTAGAGGAAAAAAAGAAAAAGAAGAAGAAAAGAAAGAAGAAAAAGCGGAAGGCATCCAAACGAAAGCGCAGAAAACATTCCGAGGACAGCGACAGCGAGTCGGATTCAGAGGACTCCAGTGGTAAGAAGAGAGGGTTTCAGCTAATGCACGAGAGCTCTTCTGCTGCTCCTCTGAATGCAAAGTGACGCTTCTGGCTTTTGTTGCACACTTAAGAGTGTTCTGAAATTACAGAGCTGCAGCACCAATCTGGTATTCTTATCTTTCACCAGCTTGCTGGGTTTGCAGTGCGTTTCCCTTGAGTGCTTGCAGTCTGGCCTTAGGAAATAGGGTTTCTGAATTTCGTAGGATGGTTTGGGTTAGAAGGCACCTTAAAGCTCCTCCAGTTCCAACCCCTGCCACAGGCAGGGACACCTTCCACTAGAGCAGGTTGCTCCAAGCCCCTGTGTCCAAACTGGCCTTGAACACTGCCAGGGATGGGGCAGCCACAGCTTCTCTGGGCACCCTGTGCCAGCGCCTCAGCACCCTCACAGGGAAGGATTTCTTCCTAATATCTAATCCAAATCTCCCCTCTGTCAGTTTAAAGCCATTCCCCCTGTCACTACCTGCCCTTGTAAAATTTAGCACCCATTGGGCACCTCATGCCAGAAGTATGTTTGATATGTTCTCATATCAACAATCGTGCAGGTAGCTCTCTACTTGTACTTTCTCAGTATTACTTAGTACCTAAGCAAATCACGTCTGAGCAGCTGTGTACTAAGGCATTCTGGTGGAGGTAGTTATTCACAGTGCAGTAAACTACTTAGGTATAGCTAATCATCTCTTCTTGATAATATACATTCTTTCCTTTTTTTTTTTTTTCAGATGAAGATAGAAAGAAAAGCAGGAAGAAGAAAAAAAAGAACAGAAAGTAAGTTTCCAGGTGGTTGTGTGTAATTCTACCCACTTCTGGCCAGCGGGCAGCACCACTTTCATAGCAGGTAGTGAGGGAGGCTGAGTGAGCATTCTTGTAGTCAGGGCTATCAATGCTGTTGAGTAATCTTAATTTGATGGATTTTATTTAAATATGCAGAACCACACAGCATAGTGGACTCACTGCAAACATGGGGAGAAACTTTCTAACACTGTATGAGAGGTGTGACGGTGTATGTGTTGTCTTTGTTTTGGCGTAAGGCATTTTCTTCTATGAAATCTGCATGCAGACAGCCAAGTCTTCCCCCCCAACTTGCACTGAGAAACTAGTGGCTTGAGTATGATTGCAAGCACTTTCTTTCATCTTAAATTTTGGTAAATAGCATGTCTGTCTTTGACTTTATCACAGGAAGAAATATAAGAAAAAGAAAAATAAGAAGAACAGGAAGGAATCCAGTGATTCAAGTAGTGAAGATTCTGATGAAGAAACATTTCAGGGGGAAGATCTCTGGATTGAGAGATCAAGTAGGTTCACCTGACTTTAAACTTGGATTGAAACTTCTAAGTTTCCTTTTGTGAGTTTTGTTAGGTGTTGCTGACCTGTGTAACTGTTCTGATAACAAAAAACAAAGGGCACAATATTAATCTTCCTCATTATTTGGTTGTTGCAGAAAATACGGAAGCTGATAGCTTGATTGGACCAGAAGCTCCCAAAACTCATGCATCTCAGGATGACAGGCCTTTGAAGTGAGTACCCAGCTCTAACAGTATTTTGGTCAAATAGAGTGAATGAAGCCTGAAGGTTAGTGTTCAAAAGAGCTGTTATAAGAGTCTGGCATGCATCAGAGAGAAATGCAGTGCCAGAAACTCACAGGCACAAGTAGCAGTGGTGTGAGCCTTTGTGCTGGCCTGAATTCAGGTAGAAGAGTCTGGTTTATGTTTTTTAGCCTTTATTCCTAGAAAATCCATTTTAAAATGCCTTTATTCTAATGCTCTGCAATATTGTGACTTCACAGTGTCTTCATTACTGTTTAATCAGAATGTATTAATTTAAGATGTTGTTGCTGCTGTTAGCCATAAGGAAGAACAGTCCAGTATATGGGAAAGCAGCTGGATGTTTAGCTCCTCCTCTCTCTATTTGAGACTGAAATCAGTACTTACTTTTTTTTTGTCTTTTAAGCTATGGACATGCCCTCTTGCCCGGTGAAGGTGCAGCAATGGCAGAGTATGTCAAAGCAGGAAAACGTATACCCCGGAGAGGTGAAATCGGCTTGACTAGTGAAGAGATTGCGTCATTTGAGAGCTCTGGTTATGTCATGAGTGGCAGCAGGTACGGTTTTGATGATGATAATGGTTCAGTGAGATTTGAAAGAGCTGCTTCTGCTGTTAAGTGGTTAGAAGACTGCTTCCAAGCTCAGATTGAAAGCATGGAAGAGAAGGTGCTCTCTGTGCTTGCAGTAATTTACACTAAACTCCCTATTGCTATAGATAGATGGTATATCTATCCAATTTGGTTTTGGAAGAACACTTCCTCCTCAAGAGCAAAAGTTATTTCCAGCTTATATACTTGTAATTATCTTAGTTTTCAAATGAGAAGATGCTTGTGTCAGGTGGCTCAAAGGCGGTGTGTGTGGACAGCAGTGGTAGTGCACTGGCTCTTCAGTAGGAGAAGAATCCATGGGCGAGAGGTTGGCTGCGCTTTTTTCTCTATGAGTCCAACAGGAATTTCACTTAAGTTTTGGTAAACCAGCAGCTGACACCCTCAGTAGGTTGCGCTTCTGGCTGACTGCCTGAGAGCAGACACCCCCAGAAGTCAGTTTCTTGCTCTGCCATGCGCCTTCGTGGGAAGGTTTGTGTCCAGTTTGGATGCTCCAGAGTGGGTATCTTTATATTTATAAGCCACTCGAAACATTCAGACCAGTTGAGGGATGGAAACCGTGATGGGGCATTACCTCCCTGTGTCCGTGCTGACATACACGCTGTTCTCCTCTGCAGGCATCGCCGAATGGAAGCTGTGCGTCTGCGTAAAGAGAACCAGATTTACAGTGCAGATGAGAAGAGAGCTCTGGCATCCTTCAACCAGGAGGAGAGGAGGAAACGAGAGAATAAGATCCTTGCAAGCTTCCGAGAGATGGTCTACAGGAAGACTAAAGGCAAAGAGGAAAAATAGTTATTTGAACTGGACACCACAGGTTCTAGCAAGCAGTGGCTGACCTGTTCCAGTTGTGACTTGGAAAAAAAGCTTCCAGTGCTGCTGTGCCTTTCACCCAACAGGGCCAAGCCTCAGGAGTGGATTCCTTGGATCAGGAAAGAGTTGCTTTTGTCAGATTTTCTTGGATGGTTTGCTCACAATCTACAAGGAATCCCTGTAAAGTGAAAGGCAACAAAAGGCAGGGAAGGCAGGAACAGGCAGGGAAGGCAGGAACAGGCAGGGAAGATGAAAGGTGCAATGTTCTGAGCTCACTTTGAATCAGGCAAGTTGAAGGATTCCACGGGAGGGCTTTGTCACCTAATGCTGATAAGTGAGATTTTCCATTTATTTTGATTAATCATAGAATAATTTAGGTTGTAAAAGACCTTTAACAAGCTACAAGAAAGAGTAGCAAAAGTGAAGGAATTCTTTTTTAAGTTCCTGTTTAAGATCTGACTCTCCACTTGGGTGTTTTTTCACAAGTCTTTCAGATCTGGTTTTTTGGTTTGGTTTCCTCCCCCCCTCAGTTGAGTGTAGTTTGTAGTTCAGACTAGACCTGTAAATAGAAATGAGTTTGTAATTTAATACAGGTGGGCTTCGGTTACTTTGAAGCAAGCAGGTTGCAATTTGGGGTGTAAAATAGTAGCAATAGGAAGGTATTATTTTCAATCCATAGAAGCCTGTGGTGAAGAACTAAGTTGCTTGCTTCTTTTTCTCCTATGTCATACATAGGTATTGGGGCAGTGGGTGCAGTGATTGGAACCCCTGGATGTACACAGGTGGTAACAAGGATGTATCTTTCAATTTATTTGAAATTCCTTTGTTTATGGAAGTGTCTAGATTAAAACTGTATTTTAATTTCTCTGGTATTTTAATTTGGTCTGGTCTAGCAGTATTTTATGGCTTTCTTTAAAGTCTGTACTTGGAGGCTTACTCTGGGTAGCGGTTGTGTGGCACTTGTCTCCGATTCAACTGCCTATTTCCAGACATATCCCCAGAGCTGCCTTTTTCTCAAATGCTTTTAAAAACAAAGTGTTTTCTAGACTGTTTTTTGTTCACATAAATCTCTGTGTTGTAATTTTGGCAGCAGAGAAATGTCTTGTATGTTTATATAACGAAAATAAAAGTCCTGTAATGTTTGTCATGGAGTTCTGCAGACCTGGTGCGTGCAAACAGCACATCAAGCCCTTTTGGCTCCTTCCTGTTTATGCTTTGTTCTGTCCTGCGTTACCCACCCATCCTTACATTTTCTCTCCTCTGTCCAGCTGAGGAGGGGACCGATAGAGCAGCTTTGGTGACACCTGGCACCCAGCCACAGTCAACACACCACAGCAACAGATACAAGGTTTGAATACATGTATATCTTTATTAGAGTTAAATCATTTTATGTGGATAAGTGGATTCTTCAAAGAGCCATCGCCTTAGTCTAGGTTCTCCAGACCCTGAAAAAAAAATAGTATCAGCGGTATATGCACCATTCTCACCCCTCGCTTGCAGGAGGACATAGCTGAAAATGCAGGTTTCATAAGACATAATTAAACTATTTAAGAAGATGCACATGCCCC